TTGATTCTCCTCCTGTCCCACTATCATGCTCAGTCCCCACCAGGATTTCAGCACTTCCTCTTTGTGTCCTTGCTTTTTAACACAGAGTTGCTGAGTGAAAAACAACTCGATGGCACCTAAAAACAACATTGAAATTGTTAAAAATTCCGTAAAACTCCTCCTCCTTAATATAATCTGACCCCTACCTCTGCAGCCTTCTTTCCCTCCAACTCTGTCCTCGGACGAACAGGCTGTCCTCAGCCTCACAATGCCCCTTCTACCCCAGGCTATTTTCATCACTCTTTGTCATCCATGTCAGACACTGGGGGATGCAATACTTCCTCAAGGAAACCTTTGGGAACAGACTTTCAGAGTACTATTTACTCTCTCGTACAGCACCAACGATCATTGCAATTATGCACTTGTTTGTATAATGATGTGATTAATTTCTACCTTTAGACAATAAGCTTTGTAAAGGGTGATATATGATTTTAATAGCCATGTGTACTCTCCGTACACAAACAGCACAGGACACAGCAGGCAAATATTGTGAGTAAATCGATGAATGAATAATACAGACATATCTTATCCAAAGTATAGAGACAGAAAAATATTTATGATTCTACTGCTTTTGGGCAAGCAGAAATGATGTGCCTTAACTTTCACTCTACAACCTAAAGATTGAAGACTTTGCAGTCATTTTACAAATCTCTGTGATAAACACCCTCATTAATCACCATCTGTTTACATGTACTATTCTAAAAAGCATTTTGGTTACATTTCTGAAACACTTCCTGCCATTAACCTCATCTCTAGAATACTCGTTAATATTAAACACCTGGATTTCAGGAACACAAGCAGCCTGAAACTCTCACACCAACCTAAACTGTTATGTAAATGACAGAAATGACACATTTTGGTCTGTAACAGCTCTAGATTGGTTTTGAACCTATTTAACTCTTACCACTAAAATTCTATCACTTGGTTATAGTCATTCTGAAGCCATGATAAGCATATCATACGTGAAAAAAAGAAGTAGAGTTTTCAACAAACCATAGAAAAGTCAGTCTATAAAGAAGAGTCATAGGTTATTTTTTTCTGAAGTGGGGGGAGGGGGAAGGGAGCAGTTACAGCAACTTAATTTGTCCAGGTGGATTTTCACTTATCTGGTAGTTATGTCATGAAAATTCCATGTTTCAACACAGTTTTTATAAATAAAATCACACTTGACTCATGAACCAGGCTGATGTCTGAATTCTAGTTCGTCCACTTTTCAGGAGAACGACCCTGTGCAAATGACTTGACATCCTTCAGCTTCAAGGCTTCGAGTGTTCAGATTTTAGTCACCAACTTTAAAGTCTCAAGTAATGTAATAATACGGAGGTAGCAGTCCCTCCATGGCGCAAATGACTACACACTGCCTTTTAGCTAGAAGGCTGGTGGTTCACTCCCACCCAGTGCTGGACTGAAAGACCACAGTGCTGAAACCTTTTGGAATCCAATTCAACTCTGCACATCTGGGCTCATCAGAGACCAGAAGCAACCCAAGCGGCACCACCAACCAGAACAACAACAGTGTAAGAGACATGGAAGGGACTGATTCATCAAAGCACTGCATGAGTAGAAGTGACATTAATCAATGCATTGTCCATCACAACCAAACATCAGATGTCTGTGCATCTGATGATACCTTAAGATCACCTAACTGGAAAAGGGGAGAGCTGAGCCCATCCTCCTTTCGTCAAGAGGTGAATAAAGATTTAAAACTGGAGCCTGAGAAACCTGGGGCAGCCAGGAACCGACAAAAATCAAGGCTCCAAGTTGTTCGTATGTGCGTACATAGCTCACTCATAAGATTTAATCAAACTGAAAAAACCGAACCAAATGGGAAAGGAGTCATTCCAAACAGAATGTTATGAAGGAGGAATCCCAGGAAAACAAGCAATCCGACCGAGGACCACAAAGTCCTCAGACCCTTGGTGTCTCTGGGGAAACTGCCAACGGCCCGACACAGGAAAGGTCAGGCAGCACTGTGTTTACCCCTGAAGAGGTCTCACCTGGCAGCCAGGTTTTCCCAAGCAAATTTAGAGAATTCTCTAGCTTCCCACATTCTAGTTATGTAACATAAAAACCATTCTCTCTCATGCACCATTCTCTTTCCTTTTCTCCCTTTCCCCTCCCTTAGAATCCTTCTGTGTTATAACAGCAATCATTTGGATAAATCTGAGTTTGCCCCGACAGAAAGTTGCATAGGAAAAGAAAAAGATTCCTCTTCTGTACACAGGCACAAGTATTAGACAATAAAAAATTCCTTCCATAAAGTAACAGCATCATTCCTTTGCTCTTAAGGAGGTGACAGTGTTTAAGCATTTACAACATTGAAGGGTTGCCTTTGAGAGACACAGGCCCAACATTTTAGTGCAGTCCCTCACTTGGCTGTCAGCAAACACACATCTCTGGAAAGCTCTCACATACATTGTTCAGCAACTATGAAAGAGGAGCAGTTTTGAGTTACACTGACTCAAGAAAGATTTCTGAGCTCTCACAAATATACATTTTAATAAATTTACTTACCTGATATATTCTAAAAGGTATGTAACGAAATCCATTTTCTTCTGCAGGATATTCCATGAGTTTCCGATTAATGGCCCAAAACTGGTCAAATCTGTCTATAATGATAATAATTTACCAAAAATGAGTAAGATTGTAGTAACTCACATGAAGATATGACCCTAAGGTTTTCTACTATTTTTTCTTAATATAATTTATCTGGTCATTCATAAACATAAGGCTAGATGTTTCCACATTATTGTCCACTTCTTAGATATCTACAGTCATTTCTTTCCCCATAAGAAAACCCCTACACAGATTTAAGGCTACTCATGTTATCAAAGCAAAAAGTATCACATCAGGACAGTGTCTTTATTCCCTTGGTGCTTCTGTCTAAAAATTATAAAGGCTTAGCTTCAAGAGATCCAAATTCCACCCAGCATTTGTTTAAAGAAACAAAGTAAAAATATGGAACAAAAAAAAATGTGGAACAAAAAAAAATTAAACAGAAAAGAGGATCTTCTTATAGGAAACGTTTGGGAAAAATACAGAAACACTGCTGATTGCAGTATCATATTAAACATTAAACAGCACTTTTTTAAACTTTCAGGATTGTTAAAATAAATAAACATCTTTACTGAGAAAAAACTAACACAACATAAAATTTACTTGTTTAAAGGAGAAAACTATGTAGTTGTTTTATATATACATCCACGGAATTGAGCAATCACCACTAATTCTAGAATATTTTCATCATCCTGAAAGACTCCTCTTACCCATCAACAGTCACTTCCTATTCTCCCCAGGCTGCGCCTCCAGCAATCATTAATGTCTACCTCTGTGGAGTCACCAACGCTTAACATTTCGTACATATGGACTTTTTCATATGTGAACTTTTGGAACTGACGTTTTTCACTTACCATTAAGGCTGGCCAAGTACATATTGCAGCATGTACGAGTACTTCATTTGTATGGTCTAATAATATTCAACTGTATGACTATATTCTCATGTAAAATATGTTTCAACTTTCTTGGTTAAGTAACTAGGAGTGAAATTATGAGGTTACACGGCAATTCTTATTTTTAACCTTTTGAGAAACGGCAAGATTGCTTTCCAAAGCCGCTGTGCCATGTCCCATTTCCAACAACACTGTAGGATGGTTCCAACTGATACAGACCCTTCTGTTTTGTTTGGTAACAGCTTTCTCAATGGGTGGGAGGGTTATGTCACGATTGTCTTGAATTGTACTTCCCTAATGTTGAGAATTTCTTAATGTGCTTATTGGCCACATGTATATAGCTTCTCTGAAGAAATGTCTGTGTTATTCACCTACTCTTAAATTGGGCTGTTTGTTTTTTGTTGAGCTGTAGAAATTCTTTGTGCATTCTAGATATGAAAACCTGATCAGATACATGGCCAGATATGAGAGGATTTCTTCATGGAGAAGGGGGAATTAAGGATCATGGAATTTTCCGACTTCTATCTAGTCTCATTTTATGGGCTGTATTTCCATTTCCTTAATGTCTTGGTGTAAAAAAAAATTAAACTGTGCTCAATTTATTCCTTTTATTATTGTCCATCCTTCTGATGACATATCAAGAGTGCATAGCCAAATACAACGTACTGCCATCAAGTCAATTCCAACTCATATTGCCTATGCTTGTATTCTAATTGCACCTCCCTGTATAAATCATTTTCATGAGCACACAGTACACTTAGGTATAAAAATACTGACATGATGGTGCTTATGAAAATTCTTTGTGAGGAGAGGCCATGGTTGGAAAACATAGAACCAAAAATATAAAAAATACAAACTCATTGTTATCAAGCTGATTCTGACTCAGTGTCTCTGTAGGGCAAGGGAGAATTGCTGAGTCCCTGGATTGTAAGTCTTTTTTTTTGGGTGGGGTGGGGTGGGGGTGGAGAAAATAACTTTATTTTCATTAATTCAAATAATTATATCACAACAGCTAGATGAAGGGGGCCACACAAACCCCGCCCCCCCAATTTTGACATCATCTCAATACAGAAGAATGCCTTCCATGGCGATTCTGAAAGCAAGGAAGTGATTATTAACTTGCACATGTTACATGGCTACTATCAGTTATCGATTTATGCTGAGCTAACTTGGTCATGAGAGACGAATTCCCCAGTTCTTTGAACTGAATGTGATTAGGCCAATCCGTTTGCAAATCTGCACTGCTTCAGCACCTCAATGAAACTCTCAGAGCTTGAGGTTGACCTGATTCTGGGCACACTCCAACAACTGCTTCATCTTATAGTGGCAAGGGCCAAACTGCTGCTGCTGCTGCGCCATCTGGGCTCCCTGAGGCTCCTGCTAAGTGATGTGAAGCCTCCGGCAATGGCACGGCTCAGTGTGTGCCCTACAGCAGAGCCCACAGCCATACCGGGTGCTGTGGTCGCTATTTCGGCCATCAGACCAAGTTGTTGTGGTGCAGCAGCGAGTGAGCCAACTGCAGTTGGTTGAGCTGCAGTTGGTGGGTGGGCAGACGGAGCTGGCCTGGGGGCAGCTCTCATCTGAGGGGCTCGGCTGGCCGGAGTGGCCACGTGGGAGGTGTGGCTCCGCAGTGACATCATAACTAGTGGCGAAGCAGCTTCTTGATGCGGGAAACACGGAGGACGGAATAGAAGGCCTCATCTCTCTCCTGGGAAGCGACTCTGGTAGTTTCAAACTGCTGGCCTTGAGCCTTTGTGTTTCCTTGAAAATACAAGAATTTTAAAATGTGGTGTGTGGTAGGGGTCTAAGTTCATTTTTCTGCTGTAAATTTAGTTACTTCAGCATGATCTGTCCAACTCTTGTTTTCTCTCGCTAAATGGATGTACCACACTTGTCAAAAACAATTGGTCATGGGTGTATGGGTCTCTCAATTGTTTCATTGGTCTGTACATGTCTGTCTTCATGCCAGTACCACACAGTCTTGGCTTTTGATCTCAAATTCTTTCTTTTAAAAGACTATCTTGCTATTTGGAAACACTTGAAGTTTCCTATGAATCTAAAAATCATCTTTTTATATTAAAAAATAAAGGGGTGCTTGAATTTTGATAAGAGTTGAATCTGTAGATTACTTTGGAAAATGATACCTTGATAAAATCAAGTTTTCCAATAAGATATATTTCCATTTTTATAAGTCATTTTCCCCATTTATTTTATTTATTCCAATTTGTTTTCCACATCCTTAATTTTTCCCTGGATGTCTTATTCTTTTAGTTGCTATTGTAAGTAAAACTTCAGAGCTGCTAAAAGTAAACTAATTTTTTACTTTCCTTTTTGGGTATCTCATTACAGGTGAATTAAATACACAGTGATTTCTGTGTGTTGATCTTGTATCCTGCAACTTTGCTGAATTCTTGGATTAGCTTGAGTTGCTCTTTTTGGGTGGATCCATCATGATTTTTATAGAAAGGACCTTAGATACGTGTGGTGACGGCGTCAGCCGGGCAATGTTTCGTTCTGCTGTGCGCCGGGCAATGTTTCGTTCTGCTGTGCGCGGGGTCGCTCTCAGTCAGAGCCGCCGCCTCCACAGCACAGAAAGGCTCCTGTCACTTAACAATAGAGATAGCTTTACGTCTTTCCTTCCTTTGTGGATGCTATTTCTTTTTCTTGCCTAACTGCTCTGCCTAGAACTTCCAGTACAGCATTGAATAGAGGTGGTGAAAACAGACATAGGGGTGGGAACTTTCAGTCTTTCATCATTGGGTATTATGTTTCCTTTGGGTTGTTTTGCTTTTTTTATAAATGCCCTTTATCATGTTAAGGAAATTCCCTGACAGAGATTTAAGTTGGTTCTAACAGAGAAAAGCAAGGGTTAAAAACAGTGACTATCAACTAGAGAAGATTTTACTTCCCAAGATGGCTTGGAAATGCATGCCGACATTTTTGACTGTCACAGGCTTTGGTGTGTGTGTGACGAGCACCTAGTGAACAAAGGCCAGGAATGCTACTAAACAAACTACAGTGTCCACAGCATGGTCCCCAGAACAAAGACCTGCTGGCCCCAAATATTAACAGCGCCAAGACTGAGAAATTACAGACTGAAAACAAAAAAGCAATACAGGCAATAACAAGTACTGAAAGGCAATTAGTAACATTCTAAGTTGTTACATAACTATATAATGGGCAAAAACAAACCTGAGGGGCTGGGGGAGAGAAGTGCATTATTGTGTTAGTTATTAATTGATGACATCTAAGCTCCAAATTCATCCTTTGACTTCTGTGCTGCCATAATGGCTGGAATCTTTGAGCATCTCTCCATGAGAATAACGTTAAAGTTTCTCAGCAGAGTATTAAAGGGGCAATGTAGAAGGAAGAGCTCCTTTGCAGCATCTGGCTGTTGCATGATGGGTCAGTGGTGTAGGGATGAGGGCAGCAGGTAGGCCTCTGCCACAGCCACACTCCCAGACACATGGCTTTTCAGCAACTTTGCACTCTCGACCTGGAGGTAACCTGAGCCCGTCAACCAAGGCCCCATGCCCTTACTGGCACCCCAATTTCCATGTGGGCAGCTCACTCATGACACCAGCTGCTGGTGCCCAGCACTCCACCTGCCCAACTGCAGACAGGCTCTGCCCAGGGCTGAAGGAGACCTTCCAACAAGAACTGACCCTGAGAGGGAAGCTTTCAGGTGTGTCCTTTCCTGAGTAGTAGTTTTCTGAGTTCTTATAGGCATTCTTTTTCATTAGAGTTAAATAATCCTTAATATAAATCTTACCCTGATTATATCACAGTGTGGTTTCCAGTTCTAGTACACTCAGACTAATAAAATTGTATGTAAAAAGAAACAGTCTTATGTAAAATAGCCATTTGCTCTGCAATACTAAAACTACTCTACAAAGATAACTTGGTTTTACTTGGTCAAAGTTATTAATTTAAGAAGTACAAAAAGCTGTAAAAGAAAATGAATCTAAAAATTACGCATATAACCGAATTATTTTTCACACTGAATTGACCATTATTTTGGACTATCAGCATTTCTTCTACCCTCTGGTCAATAATGAAAGTAAATTAAACCAGAACAAGGATGCTTTGCCAATTTCCCATATACTGTAAAACCCACCAAGAAGAAATAGTTTGAATATTAGAACTATAACACTAGTTAT